TTTCGAATGTCATTTAATGCAAAACGAAAAATCATTTTTGTATAGCCTTAATAATTTAAGCACTTTTGAATTTTTAACCTTTGAGCGAAGTTTTTCTGATCGAATTCGATAAAAAATTTTTATTGGCTGATTTCCGACCATTTATCATGTGATTTTTTCAAATCCGATAACCTCCCAAAACCGATACAGAACCCGTCCACCATGCATACCGGTTTTGAGAGGGCCAACAGTATTCAATAAAAAAAGGTTTGCTGTAAGTAACAGAAGCTAATTATGCAATAAAAAGATCCACAAATCTATTTGAAAATCATCAAATTCGATTTATTCAAAATTGTTTATATGTTAATACAAGGATCCCTCTCTGATCTACAAAGCAATGACTCTTAATAAGTACATGCTTGCAACAATATAGTAATAATATCCTGACTTTATCGGAGATTACTTACTTTATAACTATGACTTATTATGATGATCTATATAAAATAAAAATAGTCACCAACGAAGAGCCAATTTACTTTTTTTCTTTCTTGCATTTTTAATAATATTATAATAACGATGATGCATTTTATAAACATTATAATTACCAATATCCCAACATCAATTGCTGTGTTACTACTTTTATATATAATTAGATATTATTATAAGGAATATTATATTCATAACACCCGTGTTATATAACACCCCATATGTCTTACTTAGAGTTAGGGTCTGGTTTTAAGATAAATAGTGATTTTTTATTATACAATATATATTAGACATAAGGTCATAATAGGTCCCTATTTCAGTTTCCATGAGGTTTTAGGGGTGCTGATCATTTTTACTTAGAGTACCTACACCCATTTACTTAACATTTTTGAGATATTGCAAAAGGTGTTATATAACGCGGTGTTATGAATATAACTTTCCTTATTATAAATATTTTACTAGAGTGAATCCACTTCCTGGTCCATTTCCTTGGGTACCTATCATAGGAAATACTATAGATTTGATCAGATATAATTTAAACGTTGCTGAATATTTAAAAGACGTTCAATTAAAATATGGTGATTTTTGTGAAGTTCAAATTGGTCGTAAACGAGTTATTATAGTTTCAAATAGTGACGTGGCATATCCAATTCACACCTCTTCAGTGGCTCTTAGTTCTGTAGTTATAAATTTTTATACCGTGATTTACCAAATCCTGGAATGTATGAATTAGGCGTGGAAAATAGCGGAATAATGTTTAATAGAAATTTGGATGAATGGAAAATTAATCGCGAGTTTTTCATAAGAATGGCAATGTCAAAAAAATTTTTAAAAATGCTTACAAAAAAAACTTATGAAAATGCTACAGATATGTTTAAATTATGGGATGTTATGATAAAAGACAATCGAGATGTCGATTTGGCCAAATGGCTAGAAAAGTTCGCTGGGGATATGGCGGTCTCAACATCAACTGGACTACATGCTTATTCAATGTTTACTTATTTTAATTCGTTGGGATATGAATATAATCACGATCATATTCCAGCTTCAGAATGGGAACAATCTTCGAAATTGATTTTTCTTAACAATTTTTATTTTAAAGCAATGCTATGTAATAATTTTTATATAATATATTTATATTTCAAATAAGCTATTATTATTATTAAAGTGTTTAATATATAAAATTTTTTTTTTTAACTCAAGGGTTCACTATAATTCCACCTTTTGTAAGGCATGCTCCTGGCATAAGTTACTACGACAACAAGATTTTTAAACCTGTAAAAGATTTGGAAAACCTTTTACTTGAACTAATTCAAAGAAGACGTGCGGAAATCGATTTATTATCCAACGATACTTTACTTCCGTCCGACTTTTTAACATTGCTTCTTACTGTCAACACACCACGAGATCTAGATCATGCTTTATATAAGTCATTAAGCCGATCGTTGAAAGATCATGAAATTTTTGGCGTTATTAGAGACATTTTCTTGGGTGCCATTGAAACGGTAACTAATTATTTAATATAACGTTTTATAATAGTAAATAAACAATGAATATAATACAAATATTCATAATATTAATATTTAACTTATAACAGATTACGACTTCAATGTGTTCTGTATTTTATTATATATGCAAATATCCTTCTGTAAAATCTAAGGCACTTTCTGAGATCAACGAGATATTTGGACATTCAATATCTTTAAATACCCTTTACGAAAATATAGAAAAACTATCATATTGTGATGCCTTAATTAAAGAAGTTCTTCGCCTAAACACTCCATTTCCAGTTCTGAAACGATCAACTTCTGAGCCTGTAGAAGTTGGTGGAGATCTATGGAAAGAAGAACAATTATTTGTATTAAATTACCAGAAAATAAATAGTAATAAAAATGATTGGATTGATGCTGAAATTTTTGATCTCGAAAGGTTTTTGAAGAATGAGAATAGTAAGCGATCAATAAATGCTAAAGAAGCAAATAATAAAAGGGCGTTTGCAACATTTGGTGGTGGTGTGTTACGCAAAGAAAGTTTCACACTTAAACTTTCTTTGTGTAACCATTATACTCTTAGATACTTTGCGTATACTTTTAAATATACTTTGTGTAACATTTCTTAATGGCTTATGCGTAGTTTATCAATGTAAAGTATATTTTAATTAGACTGTAAGTAGTATGTAGTCTAATAGCAACTATATAAATAGAGTAGTAGTCTTTAGTTTTAGAGAGGGTCTTTAGTGAGTCTTTAGTTTAGTTTTTGGTCTTTCGGGTTATTTGTGTTTGGCTCTTAGAAGTTTGGAACTTGCTAAGTAGCTAGGGAAATAAGTGTATTGGTATTGAAGAAGTGTCTGGGACACAACGTTAGGATATTTGGTTATTACTTTCTGGTGCCTTTTGTGTCAACAAATTAGTTGGTTCATTTCTTATTAATGATTACAGTCCTTTGCTAAATTGGCCGTGTATATCTAAAGTCTCTCCCGTGACTGTAACATGGTGCTAGAATTTGTCCGGTTTGTATTAGTATTATAATTTATATAATTTATGAATTATTTGAATAATTTCAAAACGTTGCTAATTTACTGTGTATGATTTACGTTGACAGGGAAAGCTCTGGGTGCTAACTGAAATAAAAGTACTTTTGGTGGCAGTCTTAATGAAATACGATATGGAATTTGTAAATAAAGATCAAGGATTGGACTTAATTTGGGCTTCATCTTATCATTGGCGAGAACTTAAAGTCCGTCTAAGACCTAGAATGCAGGATACATAACTTAAGTTGTAATTAAAGTAGAATTCATTCGACCTTATCTTCAAATAATTCAGCTCTGAAGTTGAAATAATCAACGTTTTATTTATCTTTTAGTGTTTAGATTTGCAACGCAGTAATTAGCACAGTAATCTACCATATTGATACAGTATCTTCCTTAATTTCATTTTTAGTGTTAAAGCTTTTTTAAAAATTGAGTAAAGCTTAAGGCAAACATGCTATAGAGAAACTTCTTTGACACCAAGAATTTGGTAACAAACCTATATATTATCTTAATTTATGTATTACATACTTATGTTTTTTGGTTCATTTTTTTTTATTTTTAGAATACATGTTTCTTTTAGCAACTTGAAGCACTTGTATTTTAAATTTGTTTAATTTTTTATGGAGTAAAAGTATAAATAAAATCACTGTATTTGTACTTATGACCAGGTCTACCGAATAATTGATTGTGAGGGAAATTAATTGCGCAATAAAGTGAAAAGTATCAGTGTATGTGATCTGAATTAAAGATCTTACACAATTAATATATAATCACAATCAATTTTGACTAATAAATTAAACATACAATTTATAATTTTTATATTTCAGTAATTTCAATTATTTTAATAGATCCGCTTTCTAATTTATATGCAATCAATCGAGTGTTGATGAGCTTTGAAGTGTACATATCATTAGGACGTATTTGCTCGACTTCTTCATATTTGTTTTTGTCTGATTTCAGGAATAGTTGTTTGATTTCGTTTTCAATTGAACTTTCAATTTTTTTAAGTCAATCTCCGATTTCAATCTTATACAGTTTGCAAAAAGGCGTGACCCTGTGATTTCATGATTATGATAGCAGAAAAATAACTGTGATTTTAAATCCACTATTGATCATATTTTCAATCAATAAAGCCTATATTTATTTGAAATCTCAATTTTCAAGAATTGAAAATCTATTCAAATCATTCATCATGATTTGCGTAAGTCACCTTTCTGTAAATCGCATTTGCGGTAGGTCTTTTCTTAAAATCGGAATGCATGCATCGTTTGACTAAGTTTATATTATGATCAGGTGTTCCTAAGCACATTTCAGCCGCTCTCGTTGACAATCCTTAGTGGGAGTCCAATATAAAATGGGTCACCATCAAATGATCTTTTTCCAATTGCAATTTCTGTCATGATGACTCCAAAACTGTAGATATCTAATGCTTGTATATACGGATTTCCCTGTAAAACTTCTGGTGCAATATATGGCATGGCCCCATAAATTCCATGGAATTTTGTCAACTTTGTATCTCTTTCACACAATGCCCCGGTAGAGGTATCTTCCAAGCCTTCACTGATTGTTCCCCTTAAATAATTTGATTCAACTTTCATATCATCATCAGTCTTCTTTTTCTCTGCAACGACAGCACCAAGAAGCTCAACTCCTAAAGCCTTCCAAAATTCTGGTTCCCATGCTTGAAATTCCGTTTCATAACCATCAGCATCTTGATCGTCACCTAATCCAAGATTCAAAAGTCTTTTTCCGCCTAAAATTTCCAATCGGACATCTAAATCTCTTCCAGGTTTATTATAATAAATTATATCTTCTTCTCTTGGCCAATATTTACTATCACCAAGACCAAAAACGGCGTATTGAGTTTCTGAAAAAGAAATATCTGTTGTAGTTGAAATTGTTTTCCAAAATTCGCGGGCATTTTGAGGAAATTCACCCTGACCAGCCGTACAAACAACAAATACTATATTCTTTTCAGAAGCAATATCTTCAATGGGATAATCATCCATTGGCATGCAACGTGAATTAACACCACGGGCCTTAGCGCCACTATGCAATCTTTTTGCGAGACCCTCCGCATTACCATTATCAGAACCAAAAAGAATTAAAAGTGGTGGACCAGTTAAACCACCTAATAACTTTTCATATGCAGATAACGCGAATGATTTCTGACGTAATTTGATTTCTGATTCAAGTGAATTTGTTAAATTTGTAGATAATTCTGGTTTAGAACGTGTTAACTGGGTGAGAAGGTTTTCTTTATCAAGGAAATCTTTAAGCTCCTGTTTAATTTTCTCGGAATCAAGGGTAAAAGCTTCCTTGCCTTCCTTTTCTAACGCTGGGTTCCATCTATATAGTGACCAATAACCGCTGTCAACTGCTAGTTTAGTTTCTTTTAAAACTGTGATTGAACTATCATTTTCATTATAATAAGGCATATATGCCAATACGATCGAAGGTCCTTTAAACTTTTCAGCTTCCATTAGAGCATGTAAGACCTGAGTATATGATGAATATATTGCCACCGAAGCAACATAAACATCACCATAATTCATTGCATATAAACCAATATCCTTTTTACGTTTTTCAGGATCAGCAGCAGCACGGGTCGTATAAGGTTGAGAATCAATTATCAGGATATTAATATCTTTTCCAGATGAAATTACGTGATGAACACCGGATCCACCAATATCATATGTCCATGCATCCGAACCAATAATCCATTGTGAGGATTTTGTGAATTCATCTTTTTGATTATAAATCTCTGAGAGTATCGTATGACTATCATGAACTTTACTAAGAGATTCAATGGCTTCATCACCAAATTTCTTTGATTTTTCAGCATCATCTTGATAAAGAAGCCATTGCGATAAAGCTTTCAGCAAAGGCTCTTGAATAGAAACAGAAGTATCCTTCACCGCACGTGCAACGAGATCCGCAAATTGTGCACGCTTTTGGAGTTTGGCAATCAAAACTCCGAATGCGAATTCAGGCGTTGGTTTAACAATATTTGAATGACCAGAATTTGCAATATACAAACGATCTTTAAAGACTTCTTCAAGCATTTTGAGGTACGGTTTTTCAATATTCGGTGCTTCGATTATATGAGTCGAATGACCATTTACACCATTTAATTGTTGAGATGTCGAGTCATCATTTCCGACAATAAAGTTTTGTCGTAATTCGCCTGACTCGAGGCTTTCAAACAACGAGGTAACGTTAGTATTAATAGATTCTTCATCAAAAGTTCCATACTTTCCACTAATAATGGCTGGCGCTTCACCTGACCAAAGAGCACGATTTTGAAACGCTGAAACAACGTCAAGATATAATGGAGTCCACTTAGTCGTACGTGCAACAACTTGTTCCAATACAGCTACTTTTTGAATCGTTTTTGGAATATTAGTAAGAAAATGATTCTCAGACCAAGGACGATATACCCTTATCCGTATTATACAGACTTTGGAATTTTTATTAGTGGCTTTTTTTAAATAGAATGAACCAGAACCAAGGGTGATTATGAGTAATTTTGAATTAGGATCACCAATAAATTCAAGACTTCCATATGATCGACTTGTTTCTTGTCTGAATTGAGTGAAAATGTTTTCTACAGTCGAAAAAAAGTCGATATGATTATGTACTAATCTACTGTCACTGCCATTAGTTGATTCATTAGTGCTTTTATCATTAGGTACAGAGGAATCAGATGATCTAAAATAGTGTTCATCTTTTTTTTTGGCTGTTTTCAAAAGATCACGATATTTTGTTATATCCACTTCTTCTATAAACTTTTCAATGATATTATCTAAATGGACTAATTGTTTAGATTTTTTAGTAGATTGTGCACAATCTCGATCAAAGAAATGAATAACAGGAACGCCAGTTTTAATTGCTATAGAGTGAGCAATCAAAGCGATATCCAAAGTTTCTTGAATACCAGTTGAATGTAATAAAGCACATCCAGTTTGCCTTAAAGTCATGACATCAGTATAATCTTCAATATTTTTAACTTTATCACGATCGATAGCGATATGAATTACCAATGCAGCACATCGGCCATTTGAGAGTTTATAAAGGTGTGGTATTGCAGGAATTAAAACATCATTTGACAAGGCAGATGGAATATATAAAGATGTAAGTGAACCTTTTGATATTGAGGAATGTAAATGTGAAAATGGATCGGCATTTGAAGAAAGAATTTCTATTTCAGTTATTTCATTAAAAATATTTTTTTTCTCTTGTTTCTGGAATTTCGATAATTCTATAGTGGCGGTACTTCTTGAAGTTAGGAAATTGGACGATTTTGGATTATTAGGTTCAATAATGTAAACAACATTGCTTGTGGAAAAAGCAATCGATGCTACAGCTGTTTCTAAACGGGTCATAATTGATGCCTAATTTTTTGAGCAAAGGTAAAAGGGAAAATTTTAATGCCTGATTTTATAGTAAATTTTTCGATTACAAATACAAAAATGTTTTATCACACAAAAATAGATTATCTTCATTTAATTGGAAACAGGTGATAATATTCACATGCTCCCAATCCAGTTACTCTACGTTGGTCATCATGTAAACTTTAAAATAAATTAATTTAAGATATTGAATGGAAAGATCAACCAGCCAACTGGTAATCGAGTATAATGAAAATTTCTTTTGATTGGATATTTTTATGGAAATGAAATTTTTTATACGTACGTAATTGTAAGCCATATACCTAAAAATTTGTTAGATTACTTATTTCTGCAGGTGATACAAACCAAAAAAAGAAAAAATACTGATTGTTTGGTTCATTTGCGTTAAAGTTAGGATTAGAGTAGGTACAATATATATTGCCATATTGCGGAGATAATTGAAAAGAAACGTAATAAAGATTGAAATAGTGCACCATAGTAACTGGATAGGGATTAGTTAGATGTCTGATCCGATCAAAAAATAAAAATCTGGATATTCATCTATCAGTTATCATTATTCAATGTTTTTTTTAGCATTCGGATATCGGTCAAAAGATATCAATTTTAATACTTTTATAATATTAAATACGTTCCTCGTTACTATATAATTAAGAATCTAAGAATCGTGTTATAACTAGGAAATCAGAATCTGATGCAAGTCCAAGCGAAATACGTGTATATAACAGATTGTGTCACACTCTTCATTTTCTCGTTTTTTATTGGATGTTTCTAACGAACATTGCATAGATGTTTGATCAAACGACAATAAAAAAAGATACTGTATATAAACTCTTAAAATTATAATTTTAAACCCTTTTTTACAAAATCCTTTTTTTAAAAAATTTGGAATGAGGGTGAGATAATAAAATCCTTTTTCTTTAGAGGAATAATAAAGCTGGTATGTATTTTAAAAATAAAACAGATTGAATTTAAAAACCAATAGAGCAATATAAATCATAAAACCAACACTAATACTTTAGAAGCCTCACTCCCGATGTCCGAACCTGAGGCTAGTTGAATGAATATCCGAATAAATTCAAAATGTCTAATGATTTGCTGAAGGGTCCATATCATTTCCCCGAAAATCGATTCTCTGATACTTTCATTTCTCATTTCTCGATGCTTTGAAAATAAGCATTTCAAGTTTATGAGCATTTGCTATTTATTTAACTTCATTTCATTTTATTTGTGTCAATTTTGAAGGTGAATATAAAATTGTATCCAAATTTAAGAGTTACATAAATATGATAATGGAGATCCCGATATAACAGCTCAAGGATATACAAGTAGAGATAAAAAAAAGGAAGATTAAAATTCAACTCAGACCTTATTATTATAAACCTATGATTGAATAGGTTCTATTTAACAGACTAGATAACATCCAAAAAGAAAAAAATTGACAAAAAAAGATATTTGCCGCAATCTTGCCGGATGTATAACGTATTTTTGCTCGTGGACGTTATTTAGAAAATCGTGCTCCTGAAAATGGCATGCACTGTTCAAAATAACGCCCATACGCGTCCCAAAATAATGCGTATCCATATAAAAGGCGGCTTTGCCACTCAGTGTCAGTTAATAATTAGACATAACAGGCAGTATAATACGTAATAATATGTTGCTATAATAAGAAATATATTTTCAAATACACTGATCGACAATAACTGTTGTACGCACGTATTACTTCATAGACATTTTATAGAATGTCGCAGATCATAATATAAAATGAAATCTTGGGGTTTCTATTTAACCTCCTAAAACACTATAAACTCTACCCCAAAGCTGACCCCTAACCCTAAAAAAATGCTCCAAAAATTTGTGGCTTGTCTATTTTACTTTATATCTTATATACAAAATTTCATTTTAATCTGCCACAATTAATAGACTAAAGATAATTAATTTACAGACAGTTCATTTCATAGGCAGTTCATTTTATCGACAATTTATTTCATATACCTAAAACGGACTAGTAGATTAAGTTATTCTCCGTCAAATATTGTCTATGAAATGACTATCTGTAAAATGAACTGTCTATGAAATAAAATGTCTGTGAATTAATAGTCTTTAAATGATTGTCTATGAAATAAAATGTCAGCAAAATAAATTTCTGTAAGTTATACGTATCCTTATTATACTTACCAGCTAACTCGGCTTGGGTAAGAAGAGATTTAAAAATGATCTATCGATTAGCATGGCTCTAAGTGCGATACCGTACACTCATTTCGTAGACACAACATTTATTTCACCAAGTTCATTTCACGGACAGTTTATTTCACCGACAAGTTTTTTTTTATAAATTATACTAACTTTAATTCTAACCGACGATGACCAGAATTACCTTGTCGGTGAAATGAGCTGTCGGTGAAATGAGCTATCGGTGAAATAAACTGTCGGTGAAATGAACTTGTCGGTAAAATGGGATCTTTGCTAGGAAAATGACCCCTCCGAGGCTATGTTGATTTTGTGAATAGAAATTAAATATCGCGGCTGATGCTGAAATTTTGATATGAAATTTTAAATTTTTGGGGGTGTTTTTTTTTTCGCTTTTTGTTTAGGGTTGGGTTAGGATTTTGGACTAGAATTTATAATTAAAGTGTATATGTGGATTTTAGCAGGGATTATATTTTCAAATCGATACCCCAAATTTCAGCATCAGCCGTGACATTAAAAATGCCAGCCATCAAGTCATCCAATTCGAATGGTCTTTTTTATTTTGTAGCGCTTATTTAGCTCTACAAATAAAAAAAGATTCATTCAAATTGAATAACTAGATGGTTGGTAAATTTAATTTTTATTCATAAAATCAATATAGCCTCGGAAGGTCGTTTTTCTGGCAAATATCCCAAATAAGTGTTGATGAGATAACCATTTTGGTGAATTGAAAGTGTTGTGCCTACGAAATGAGCATCGGTGAAATAAGCGGAATACTAAGTGCACCCTCTATAAGTGCACGCCCTCTCTAAATGCACACTCAAATTCTGGTCCAAATATAGTACTTAACCTTTATAAATGCTCTTTTTCTTATTATTCTCTAAATGTATGCTGTTAAAGTATGATCCCAAGGGCATGCGTTTGACTGTATTTTGAAAAATAAATTTTTATTTCAAAATAATACCATGCGCGTACTCTAAATAATGCGTATATCCAACAAAATGTTGACCAAATCTTTTATATAAAACATTTAATTTATTTAGCTTGTTTGTTTCAGATCATGTAATTTATAATTTTATAATTGTTATCTGTAATTATTGTTTTAATAATGTTATTACTACAGTACTGTCACGGGCTAAAACAAAGGATCTACAAAATTAGGCACAGCAAACCCGTGATCGAAGCAATAAATCCAAGAAATACTGGTTTATCGGTTGAGG